ACCCCAGCGACTTATGACTGGTTTTGTGGTCCAGGGTCACATATAAATGACATTAAAGCATATTTTAGTAACCATAAATGCTTGTCAGTACATTTGGCAGTACACCATATTTCAAAGACAATTTTGAAGTAATTATGAAATTACATAAAAAGATGTAATTAGGTGCTACTTAAGCAGTACTTTTTCCCCACAATACCTCTCTCTCACGCTCGTTCTTGGTCAGATGCATCTCCTTGAGGATCTGCGACCGCTGCTCCATCACCAGGGTCTTTTCGTAGGTGTAGGCCGAGATGTCGCTGTCGTGCTTGAAGTAAATGAAAGAACAGGTTAGAACGATGGTTGACAGTATCTGTGTGTGTTTGTGTGTGTGAGCGTTTGTTTCTCACCATTTCAACCACCTCCACCTCAGCATCAAATCGCAGATGATAGAGGAACGTCATCAGGTCTTTCTTCATCTGAATGCTGTTGTCGTCCATCTGAGCCACAGTGAAGATACGTATCTTGCACTTCCTCCACACCTACAGTTAAAGCAAAATTATTGTCCAGTATAGCAATCAAGTCAGCAGTTAGTATCTCATTCAAAAACATGAACTGAATGTGATGTCAGTTTCAGTGCTTAGTGAGCACCCTAGGCAGCAACTAATTTAAGTCATCACATGGATAAATAAATATAAAATATATTAAAACAGTTATTTTAAATCAATGGTCACCAACCTTTTTAAGCCCAAGATCCCTGACTTTGACCTTTATGAAAGACAAGATTTATCTATTGAAGAATTAATTAAAAAAAGACACCGATCATGATTTTTCATGGGCGATTCAGATTCCCTTATTTATTAATTTTTTTTTTTTTTTTTTTTTACAAGCAAATTGATACTATTTGCTCTATAACAAGCAAACTGGCTTTAACCCAAAATATTTGTAGCCATTTGAAATTAGGGGCAACCACTGCATTTGAATCACAATCCAAACAAAGATGCTGCACACGTTGCACAAGCAGATGTTTTTGATTTGAATTTTATAATTTGAAGATTTAAAGCAAAAACATAATTGTCTGACTTTAGCTTTGTGAAAGTATGCTACATAAAACATATCTGCATGAAACAAAAACAGCAGACGAGCTGAATGAGATGCAAATTCACTCTCTGCAGGTGGTGCTTATGGAACAGCAGCAATATAGACTTTCTTTGGTTACCGCTGTAAACTAAGCAGTGCTGCGCTTATTAACACTACTTTATACAGAGGAAAGAGGAGAAGAAAATACCATTACCATCAAAACTTTTCTGAAAACAGTCAGTTGCCCTCAGTGATACATTCATATTTGTATTTTCTTCCTATATTTTGAGCATCGTGAACGGTGATCTTGCTCTGCATGCTACAGCATTTCCTCCTCTTTGCGCCCGTCTTCAGCATCTCTCGCTTCAGTTATCGTCATGTTTACAGACTCAGGCATGATATATTTTTCTATATCACTGTCCCAGTAGCTCCCGAAATTAATATAAAATTAAGTACAAAAAAATAAAGTACAAAGACTGGAGAAATGTAATGTACTTTTGTACTTATTTTTCTGTTATTTAAGGGAGCTACTGGGACAGTGATAAAGATCGACAGGTTGTTTCACAATATTACTGATTTTACTGTATTTTTGATCAAATAAATG